ACTAATGTGATGAATACAATTTCATCACAGTCTTTGTCTAAAGACTTTCCTGCAAAACCATACGTTCAAATATGCGATCGATCAAGACTTTTCATTCACCGTCTGTGTCTAAAGACCTTTTTGGCAAGCCTTTGTCATACAACTTTGGTAAGCCGTGGGTACAAACCCCCTTGTGATCATTATTTCACGCACGAGACTCAGAACATAGCTATTTTCTGATAAATGTGATAAAGACGGTTTCATTCACAGTCTGTGTTAATGACTTTCTTTTGCAAGCATTTGTCTTAATGTATCTGTTTTCAGTTACCAGTCTTTGTCTTGATCCTTTTTATAAGCCGTAGGTACAAATGTGTAGAAAACTTATTCAGTCACATTTTTTGTCTAAAGACCTTTTTTGCCAGCCGTGGGTATTAATTGTATGATTCCCAGTCTTTGTCTCAGGACTTTCTTGCAAGCCATTGGTACTAACGAAATGTGTTAAGACTTGGTTTAACTTGTTGGCCGCTTTTACCATCCAACAAGCCAAAAACCAAATCAGTCTTTGCTTCATAGTGTCTTAGACTTGGTTTAACTTGTTGGTCGTTTTTACCATCCAACAAGTTAAAACCCAATTTTGTTTATAGTCTCTACCGTTAAGGACCTGTTGGTCGTTTTTCCCCATCCAAGCAGCCAAAAAAACCGATGTGTAGTCCTTTTAAATGCTTTGACGAGAAGACTTGTCGTTGAGTAATCTGTTTTTGATTCATAGTCTTTGTTTTTAAACTCTTCTCAGCTCTTTTGTCTAACGGTTTTTGTAAGCCTTGTGGTTAATGTAAAGAATTTGGTAAATAGTCTCTGTCTCAAGACTTCTCTTAAGCCGTTGGTATATATGAAGCAAAGGATTCTTCATAAGCCGATGTGGGTATTCACAGTCTTTGTCTGGAGACTCTTCACAAAGCCCTTGGTTTTAGTTGTCTAGACTTCATAAGCCGTTTGGTTGTAGTAATATTTTCTAGACTCTTCTTAAGCCGTGTCTTTGTCTAAAAATTTTATAAGCCGTGGGTACTTAATGAATCCAACCTTTTATAAGTAGTTGGTTACTACTATCTGTTTTCAATTCATAGTCAGGCATTTTCTGAGCAGTTGGTCGTTATTACATCCAACAAAAGTTTTCCAAGCCGTGGGTACTTTTCACTCTCTCTTAGTCTTTTCCTTATAAAGTTGTTGGTCGTTAATTTCCATCCAACAAAATTAAAAATCAAGTGTCATAATACTTTTTGTAAGCCGTGGGTACTGATCACAGTCTTTGTCTAAAGACTTGTTTGGTAAGCCATTGGTGCTAAAGTTTTTTCATACTTTGCATCTCCAAACATCAAGAGTCTTCTCTCAAGTCGTACATACCAAGATTATCTAAACCACAGTCTCTGTCTACAGACTTGTTTGGATAATCAACTCGTCTGTACTAACGTATGAATACGTTTTTTCAATCACAGTCTCTGTCTACAGACTTGTTTTTAAAACCGTGGATATTTGTCACACTTTGCATCCTCAAACATACTTTGCTTCATTAGCTGTGGATGGATCTGGTTTAGATTAAGAGTAGTCTTTGTCTGAAGACTTCTTTCTGAAACCGTACATACCAATGCTGAAAGCCGTGGGTAGCAAGATTTTCCAATGACTTTTCGTATTGTCTAAATGAATCCTTCCAACGATATCATGGCCCTTGTCTAATTTGTAAGCCTTTGGTCTAATTAAGACATGGTCGTTTTATGTCTAAAGACTTTCTTCTTTAAGCTGATGGTTGTTCATTTTATTTTTGAGCTGTTGGGACAATCTCCTACATAGCCTTTGTCTGAAAGCCGTAGGTACTAATGTATAATTGAACAAGTTTTCAACCAGCCTTTGTCTAAAGACCTTGTAAGCCGTGGGTACTATTGTGATGAATACAGTTTCATCACAGTCTTTGTCTAAAGACATTTTTTTTGCAAGCCGTGGGTACAAACAAATGTGATGATGACGTTTGTCAATAGACTTATTTTGCAAGCCGTGGGAACAAAGTCTTTGTCTAAAGACCTTTCTTGCAAGCCGTGGGTACAAATACGTGATAAAGACTTTTAACTCACACTGTTTTCCCTTACAAGGCTTTGTCTTAATGCATCTGTTTTCCCTTACAAGGCTTTTTGTCTTACAACTTTTCATAAGCCGTGGGTACAAATCAAACCCCCCTTTGTGATCGGTTATTTCACTCGCACCGGGACTCGGGACAATTAGTTATCATCACTTGTGGTCATTATTTCCATCCAACAAGCTGTAAACCAATTCATAGCCTTTGTCTAAAGACCCTTTTTTTTAAAGCCGATGGTGTCTTTTTTGTAAAGCCGTGGTAAAGACTTTTTCTGTATTCCCTTACAAGTCTTTGTCTTAATGCGTTTGTTTTCAGTTACAAGACTTTGTCTTGCAACTTTTCCATAAGCCGTGGGTACAAATCAACCCCCTTGTAATCTTATTTCACTCACAACGGGACTCGGGACATAGATATTTTCATAGCCATGGACAAAGCTATGTTCAGTCTATAAAGACTAGCCTTTGTCTTAATGCATCTTTTTCAGTTCAAGACTTTGTCTTACAACTTTTCATAAGCCGTGGGTACAAACAAACCTCCCCTTGTGATCGTTATTTCACTCGCAACGGGACTCGGGACAATTAGTTATCATCACTTGTGGTCGTTATTTCCATCCAACAAGCTGAAAACCCAATTCATAACCTTTGTCTAAAGACATTTTGTAAGCCAACGGTCCTTTATCCATCCAACCAATTCATATCTTTTCTGTCTAAAGACCTTTATTTTAAGCCGTGGGTACTTGAGTATGTTGGGTTTTCCTCTCTATCCCCAAACATCTCTTGTTTAGTGATAACACTACTACCAACAAGGGTTAAAGTTTCCTCTGGGTCTAAACTTTTCACGCAACAGGGACTCGGGACAATGTCCCCAAATAAGAATCTGGCAGAACACCATTAGATTGGTGTCTGCCTATGATCTTTTTGGAGTGTGATAAAACCAAAACCAAAGTAACAAAAAGAAACGTAGTGACTAAAATCAGTAAAAGAACTTATTTGTCTTTTTGTTGCCACTTCTTTAGCCATTGAACTCAAAGATTCACACTTGTCAATGGTGAGTTTCTCCACACCCACAAACTATAAACAAAAACAGAGAGAGGCTAAAGTGAGTGACTTTGTACCGTGAAGACAACAACTAAAAGAAACGATCTTTGAACTCAAAAAAACAAATCTTTGTCAATATTAGATTACACAATGTCTATTCGCCACTTGTAATTATCCACTTGTAGAAAGAATATATATAAGCAATCAGCGCAATAAAGAAGCGTTTATATAAAACAGAACATCAACAAGTAGCACAGATCTAAAGCGAGATCAAGTTCTAAGTTATTATTGTAAATCAAAATATCATGTCAATTGCTAAAATTACAGAATCAGCTCAACGAAAACTGTTTGTTCGTCCGTACAAAATACAATTTGCGTAGACAGAGACGAGACACGTACCTCTCAACGATGATCCCACTCTGATTCCAAGCGCTTTCCAAGATCTCTACAATAATTAAAGGAACGATTAATAAAAACTTGAAACCCTAAAAACAAAATCGTGAAACCCAAACCGATCGCAGCAAACCCTAACACGAGATTTGAACGAAACCAAACAAAAGAAAAACAAATTCACGATCAATTGAGAATTAAAACTTACAATTTTAAGAATGTCGTCAACTTCCGCTTGTAAAATCTTTGATTTCTCCAAAACAAATTGAGAAAGAAAATTTTGGGAGAAAGCGAAGAACCGTGGAAACGTTTCCTCTGATCCACGCTTTTTATTTTATGCAATATTTGTTGCATTTTTTAACAACAACGGATACATTTTCAAACGGACGGTGATTCTTTTTACACGTGTCATGGTTACGTTAATAATACACACGATTAAACTTTCCCGTCAAGTTTTTTTGTCTTCTTTTTTTGATCAAAATTTTTTTCCTTTTTTGATCAAAAAAGTTATTTTGTCTATCCTACAGGTCAAATGGGTTTTTCAATTTCAGACATAGGTTTAACAGTTTTTAATTAGGTTCAACAAAGTCCATTATTTTAAAATTGGGCTTTCTTTACGATCCTTCTTCTGATTTCAAGTTAAACAACGCTCATGAATCTACGTGCTAAACATGAATTATTTTTAGTTTATTTATTTAAAAGTAAAATTTAAATATTTTAGCAAAAAATAAAAGAAGTAAAACTTAAAAATTATTAAAATTATACTTTTCTTGGCCTTTTGGCTAAGATCGAGTGGAGTTAAAATAATGGTTTGGAATTTTATATTATGTTATTGTTGATTTTGTATCCTAAAGTATAAAGTTATAGTTAATAGGCCACATAATATTTCTAGAGGATTTGCAGATGACAAAAATGCATTAATGAGGGTTTTAGGTAAATAGGAATGACATTTTTTTTGTAATATTCCATATGAAAGTGAGGTTAATTATTTAATGTACTTATCTTTTACTAGAGAAGAGACGTACCATATCAAAATAGAGTGTGTTATTAATACGTAAACTCACCATTTCTACTTGCAAGAGATTGCAACTTGAAACTTTGCAGGTAAGTCTTGATAACACATTTAACCACATAGATAGGCTAGAAGATGGAGCTTTGTTCCATAATCACTAATACGATACCAATAGGGCAACAACAACATAGGATACTACTACCTCTTTAATAAAGTAGATTAAGACTATGAACGTTTGTTTATTACAGTGTGTACTTAGCTAGTCTCTCTTATGATTTGACCATGTATTGTCCCTTTCCTAGAATCTTGATCATGTTCCTAGCTACTTGTATTAACCTGAGAGCTTAAACTTCAAGCCTTGAGGTTTTCTCTTCACTTAATTGGTGTTAAATGGTGTGATTTGGGGTTTATTATTTTGTAAAAGCTAAAAAGTATTACCCGTCGAGGCAAAGACTCTTCACTTGGCTCCTGGATCAAAGGACAAACCTGTTTTCCTCAACAGCAAGAAACTACTCAAAGAGTACTGTGATCATAAAAACACCAACTCCTTACTATTAGTCTTCAAAGAGTTGGGAGCATAACGCACCCTCTTCTTCTTCTGAGTATCTCGTCCCACTCTTAATTTACCATCTCTTCTACTACTTCCCCTGTTTACAAACTTCTTGGCTATGGTCAAACCTGTTGACCGGTGCTTTCACTACTTCAAACGTATCATGGAAACGTTCTTTGTCCATAGGTTCAGCCATGCAACTTTATTAATCGCCAATGTGTTCAGAAACTGTGCTTAGTACTGGACCTTTGGTGCTTACATTGCTTATTACGTCAACCATCCCTTGTACACACTGGTCAGTGACCTTATATTTCTAAATCACCAATGGCTTCATAGTTTTTAATAAAGTTAAAAGTCATTAAGAAAACTGAAAACATTTTATATTTTGAAATATCAAAAACCTTTTTTAGAAGTTTTATATTTCGAAAGAGATAGAAGAGTATATTACATAATGTTCTTTTTGGTGGTTGCCACTTGTTTTGTAAGAAAGTAGCAAATTAAAAGCCTTAGACTAAACTTTATAATAAAGATCTATGAAATACAGATAGAGTTAAATTTTTTATCTAAAATTAAAACAGTCTGGTGATCAAGCTTATTGGGACAGGCTATGGCAAGATGACCCTTTTCTCTACAATTGTAACATGCCCTCCTTTTGCGCTTACCCCTACGCACCGTCCTTGCAACGTAGTTTCCGTTATTAGCTTCATTAGGTGTAGGATTAGTACTATTATCCCCTGCTGATTTCTCTTCAAGACCACAATTAATCTTGACAGGGCTTCCAGAGATAACCAGCTGATCCAGCTTAAGCGCCATGGCCACAGACACACTATCCTTGAAATCCACATGCGCGTGCCCTTTAAACTCTCCTGTTTCTTTGTGTTTTCCCAAATGCACTGAGTTTATAACTAATTCAGAGAAGAATTTGCGTATGTCACGTTCTGTTGTGTCCCATGCTAAGTTCTTAACCTCCACCGTTTCTGGAATGGAAGGGGTGATGGGTTTCACGTATTGCTGGATTGTCAAATATCGATCACCCCTGGCCAAAAAAAAAGTTAAAAGAAGACCAATCAATTATTCACATAACTGAAACATAAAAAAAAAAGCACAACAACATCAGAACATAAAACAAACTAATTACCTGTCTGTATCAAATTGAATATTTTCTACCTTAACCTTTTCTTTATCCGCCTTGGTGCCTTCTTCAACTATCTTATTGGGTTCGTATTCTCTTGTGAAAGTATCCAACTTTCGTCGTTTCTCTCTCTCGTTTAGAGACTCCATGTTCGAGACAGAGTCTGGATTGGTTTCGTCAAGTGTCTGTGAAAGATAGAGATTCAACCAAATCCTCTCGAATCTTCTGCTTCTTGTCCACTGATTGATCAAAGTGAAAACCTAAATTTGCAGACCGCCAAAAGCCATGATGAATGATTTTTATACAACTTAGATATGGGCTCTGTTGGGCCTTAAATTAATTGCCTATGTTGGGCTATAAATGTGAGATTGTACGTTGACTTGTCTCTTATTTTTTTTCTTTTATTAATGCCATATTTTTTAAAAGGTTCAGAAAGTTTCAAAGTGGATAGACTGAGGCAGAACCGAATCTTCATAATCTCTACCACATATACAAGAAGAAAACAAAACACAAGACTATCATCAATCAATCTCCACTCTTCGTCAATGGCTTCTCTGAAGCTTTCACCTTCTTCACCAATCTCTATCCCTAAGGTTCTTCTCTACTCTTTCTTGCTTCTTCTTCTTTAAATCACTCAATTGAATTCTCATTATCTAACAGTCTAACACTAACCTTAGTGTCTGTCATTACAGAGCAGTGGATATGTTGGTAGGAGAGGAGTTTCATTTATTGTTCGGGCTGAACAATCTCCCTCTTCCTCTTCTGATCTTCAGGGTCTGTGTTTTCTTTACATTTCTTGTTTTAAATGTAATTGAAGAAAATAAAAAAAAACCATTAACATAACTTGTCTATTCTATTTTTCTTGTTTTTCAAGATAAATGTGAGAGGAGACGTGTGGTGGTAACGTTAGGTGTTGTTGCTCCTTGGATCTCATTGCTTAGTAAAGCTCCAGCATCATGTAAGCTATTGTTCTGTTTCTAATCATATCTTAGTTTCTTTGTCATGACACATCCTCTTAGCTAAATTATTCTAAGAGGATTGATTATGGATCAGTTGCTGCAGAAAGCAAGAAAGGATTCATGTCTGTCTCTGACAATAAGGATGCATATTCGTTTCTATATCCCTTTGGTTGGCAGGTGTTTTCTCTTTTTCTAATCGATTTTAAGACTCGGACATTTGCAAAGACTGACCAAGAATGTTGTATTTGGTGTCAGGAAGTGGTGATTGAAGGTCAAGATAAGGTATACAAAGATGTGATTGAGCCCTTAGAAAGCGTTAGTGTCAATTTGATACCAACTAGCAAACAGACTATCAAAGAGTTCGGCCCACCAAAGGAGGTAGGTTATATATGTTCATGGTCGGTCTTGGGAGTTAATATATATAAACTATAAAACCTCTAGATTGTTTTTTTTTTTTTTTTTTTTTTTCAACCCCCTAG